ATAGTTTCAACCAGTTTTCCTGGTCCTGAAGTCAGGTTTACCAGCCTGTAATTGCTGGGATCACCTTTGGAGCCCTTTTAAAAATTGGCTTCACATTAGCGATCCTCCAGGCATTTGATATGGAAGCTGATTTAAATGATAGTTACAAACTACAGTTTGTAGTTTGGTAATTTCACATTTGAGTTCCTTCAGAACTCTTGGGTGAATACCATCTGGTCCTGGTGACTTGTTACTGTTTAGTTTATCAATTTGTTCCAAAACCTCCTCTAATGACACCTCAATCTGGGACAGTTCCTCGGATTTGAAGAATGGCTAAGGTTTGGGAATCTCCCTCACATTCTCAGCCATGAAGACTGATAGAAAGAATTCATTTAGTTTCTCCGCAATGGCCTTATTGTCCTCGAGTGCTGCTTTAGCATTTTGATCATCCAGTGGCCCCACTGGTTGTTTAGCAGGCTTCCTGCTTCTGATGTACTTAAACATTTTTTTGCTATTACTTTTTGAGTCTTTGGCTAGTTGTTCTTCAAATTCTTTTTTTGGCCTTCCTAATTATATTTTTTACAATTCATTTGCCAGAGTTTATGCTCCTTTCTATTTTCCTCACTAGGATTTAACTTCCACTTTTAAAATAATGCCTTTTTGTCTCTCACTGCTTCTTTTACTTTGTTGTTTAGCCACAGTGGCACTTCTTTGGTTTTCTTATTATGTTTTTTAATTTGGGGAATACATTTAAGTTGAGCCTCTATTATGATGTTTTAAAAAAAGTTTCCATGCAGCTTGCAGAGATTTCATTTTTGGCACTGTACCTTTTAATTTCTGTTTAATTAACTTCCTTATTTTTGAGTAGTCCCCCTTTCTGAAATTAAATGCTACAGTGTTGGGCTGCTGTGGTGTTTTCCCCGCAGCAGGGATGTTAAATTTAATTACATTAAGGTCACTATTAGCAAGCAGTCCAGCTATATTCACCTCTTGGACCAGATACTGTGCTCCATTTAAGACTAAATCAAGAATTGTCTCTCCTCTTGTGGGTTCCAGGACTAGCTGCTACAAGAAGCAGCCATTTAAAGTGTCAAACTTTATCTCTGCATCCCATCCTGAGATGACGTGTACCCAGTCAATATGGGGATAGTTGAAATCCCCCATTATTATTGAGTTTATTTTTATAGCCTCTCTAATCTCCCTGAGGATTTCACAGTCACGGTCACCAGGGCTTTGGAGTGGAGCGCGGAGCTGGAGCGCAGAGCAGCTCTGAAGCAGTGGAGCTGCAGGTTTTTGCCTGGAGCTGGAGCGGAGCCGGAGCACAACTCCAAAGCCCTGACTGTCACCACTGTGGCCAGGTGGTTGGTAATATATCCCTATTATTAGAGCATGTAATTACTATACAAAGAGATTCTATAGTATAGTTTGGGTCATTTAAGTTTTTTACTTCATTTAATTCTATGCTTTCTTTCACAAATAGTCACAAATAGCCACTCCTCCACCAGCATGACCTGTTCTGTCCTTCTGATGTATTTTGTACTTGGCTTGGAAACCTGAAGCTTGTGGACCCAGAAGTTGAGCCGTGGGTAAAGCTGGGGCTCCTGGGCTTTCAGGTTCCCGGATCCATGACCAGGAGTCTGGAAGCCCTGATGCATCTGGCTACTGTGTAGCTGGGGATCCTGGAAGACCCCAGCAGCCTGGAGAGGTGGCAGGTTTCCCATAGCAACCTCCCTTTGATTCACCAAAAGTTCATCGAACCCATGATGTTTCTGCAAAACATTTTGAGTTCTACAAATCTGCATTTTCCGATTAAACTGTTTTGTTGGAAAATTTATAACCCAGCTCTGTCCTCAATATCTTCACATATTAGCATTGCAATGGTTGGGGAAAATTTGAAATAAAAGTACCCAACATGTGTATTATTTCAGTGAAATTCCTTGATATCAGTTCTGTAAGGATGGGTGAATATTTTGAAAATTAATAATTTCCTTTGAAATAATTAATGCAAACTTAATATTATGCTATTTTATCCATAATAAAGGACCATTTCCATTAAGGTTTAACAAAAATCAGTATATTGAATTTTTGTGGAGGTGATTTTGGTTACTTAATTTTTGTTTAGTTGTTTCTTTATCATGGTAGGATGTGCAGAATGGTGCACTATACCAATCAACAAGATTAGGTTTGATATTTTTTTAATGGAATACTTAATGTTTTGGGGACAGGAAGAAGTTAAGTGTGTCCTCTGTCTCTGCCCATTCATAGTAGTTATGTAATTTTTCTACCAACAAAAAATTCTAAATGTTTCTACAGTAATTTATTTTTGAACCATTGGACTCCTTTGTCTGTGGCTGCCCCTGCTGCATCATGTTAGTGATTCTTCTCTACGTAGAAACTTTCTGATGACATTCCTTTATTGTCCTGCTTTTCCTTAATTTATGTTTTCTCCCTGTGTATGTATTATCTGAAGTACCCTGGCAGCAACAGACCTAATTCTTCTCTGAGTGCTAGTCTATATGTGTTCCACTTCTGTGGTCATGTGCCCCATGCATTGGGGATCAGAATGCTTTAGCCAGCACTGTCAATTGGTCACACATGCTCTGTCGCATCCGGCCCCCATCAAGGGTATAATTGAGCTCAAATCCCAGCCTCATTTTCTTTGCCCTCAGTTTAACCATGCCAATTTCTGCAATATCTTGTTATTGAAAGTATAAGGTCAATTAGTTTCACTGCCAACTGCATTTGAAACCTGTTCTTACTAATCTTGTATGAGTAGTGTATTGTGTTTCTTTGTTAATCTAGAATTAGGTTACAGGGATCTACCACCATGATATAAACAGTGAAACCAACTTTTTAAAGTATGGAAATTCAGAGTTGAAATTCTGCTTAAAATAAAAAGAAATAAACAAATAAACATGGGCTCTGAGTTCGCCAAACCTGTGTGTGGGTGTCCAGACTGTAAGTGAGTTGGAGAACCTGTGCTCTAACTTGTACCCCAACTGGCATAGTAAGCCCAGGTCCAAAGCAGATACAGACTTGGGTACAAAGATTTTGTGTTAGAATGTTAGGGAGAGGTTAGGGTTTAACACCCAGATAATAATCCACGTTAACTCTGCAGTACATACCCTTATGGTCACCCAAACAACCTTGTGTATCCTGATTAGAGCTATTTAAATCCACCTGCGATTGTGACTCAGCAGTAATTCCATTGCTTTTTCATTCATGGTTTAAGTACCTGATAACAGAACACCTCAACAGAGGTGCCCAGCATGCTTATGCTAGTTCCTAAAGTATATTATCCTGTTATATATAACTTGAATGATTTGAATTTTGTGATGTAATGTGATTTCTTTGGGCAGGCGGAGTGGCAGAAAGGCACATTAGATACAGTGTGCAATGTTTTCTAAATCTCCAAAATTTCCAAAAAATCTTACTCAAGTTATTCAACATGTTTGCAACAAATTCTAATTGTCAATGTGACCTAATACTAAAAAAATGTGAAAGCACAAACAGTATTTTTAAGTTAAAATGTCTTCAGTGCAAAAATGGGACCATTACTGCAGCATCAACTACTGTCCTACCTTAGTCTGTGTACATTGAAGTAATAAAACTAATAATGCTTTTTAGCTTGCATAGTCTTTGCAGCTGGGGCTGCATCTTCCTTTGTGTCTGGAAAGTGGCCAAAATTTAGACACTACCACAATATAAGTAATACCATTTGTCATCCCAGAAAAGTGTTGCTTTTTTGACTGCTGCCAACTTTTGTGTCATCATATTTAATTGCTCGATTGTGGCATTACTTTAATACTGTTGCTTTCTGGACTTTGCTTCTTAACACTATCTCTTCAAATGTTTGAGTGTTACTAAAATTTGGCTCTCCCAACCTGGGCTGGATATGGATCAAGAAATAAGCAGTAAAAAATCTCTGTCCCTTATTATCAGTATCATTTTCTGGACATTTGGGACTACATTTTCAAACTTGGGAGCCTCATATTAGGCACCTAAATCCATATTTAAGAAATTAAAATAAGTGGCCAGGTTTTAAATGTAAATGTATACACGTAGGAGTAAAGAATGTAGGCCATATTTACAAGCTGGAGGACTCTAACGTAAGAAGCAGTGACTCTGAAAAAGATTTGTGAGTTATGATGGCTAATCCACTGAACATGAGCTCTCAGTGCAACACTGTGGCCAATAGGACTAATGTGATCCTTGGAGACATAAACAGGGGAATCTTGGGTAGGAGAAGAGAGGTTATTTTACCTCTGTATTTGGCACTGGTGCAACTGCTGTTAGAACATTATGTCCAGTTCTGGTGTCAACAGTTCAAGAACAATGTTGCTAAATTGGTGAAGGTTCAAAGAAGAGCCATGAGAATGATGAAAGGATTAGAAAACCTGCCTTTTTATAATAGACTCCAAGAGTTCAATCTATTTAGCTTAACAAAAAGAAGGTTAAATGGGGACTTGATCACAGTCTATAAGTACATGGGGAACAAATATTTGATAATGGGTGTTTCAGTCTAGCAGAGAAAGGTATCCAATGATCCAATGTCTGGAAGCTGAAGCTAGGCAAATTCAGACTGGAAATAAGGCATATATTTTTAACAGGGTAATTAAACATTAGAGCGATTTTCCAAAGGGTTGTGGTGGATTCTCCATCAATGGCAACTTTTAAATCAAGTTTGGATTTTTTTTTCCTAAAAAGATCTGCTCTAGGAATTATGTGGGGCAAGTCCTCTGGCCTGTGTTCTACAGGAGGTCAGGTTAGATGGTCCCAATGGTCCCTTCTAGCCTTGGAATTTATAAATTTAGGTGCTGAGCACTTTTAGCTCCCATGAAAGCCAGTCAAATCTGTGCATGCTTGGCATGTCTGAAGGTTGGGCTATTTTTATTGAAAAAAAAAGACACATACAGATCACATGACCTTCCATATGGGACAGTTAATTTAATACTAATTAGGGCAACTAATTAAAGTGCTGTGCAAACTTTTTAAAAAACCTTTTTTTTCCCTCCCCAAAGGTGACAACCCTTGTTAACACAAGCAACAAAGGGCCATCTGGTAAAAAGAAAGGGCGATCTAAGAAAGCACACGTGTTGGCTGCTTCGGTAGAGCAAGCTACCCAAAACTTTTTGGAAAAAGGAGAACAGATTGCTAAAGAGAGCCATGACCTCAAGGAGGAATTGGTTGTTGCTGTAGAGGATGTACGCAAACAAGGTATGTACAGTGAATCTGTCCTAACTCTGAACTTATTATAATTGCTACATGGGAGAACATAGGGGGGAAATCAAATCAGTATCTTAGATGTCTGTATACTGATGCAAGAAGTATTGGGTATTAGCAGGAAAAACTAGAAATGCTAGTTAATAAGCACAACTATGACATAGTTGGCATCACAGAGACTTGGTGGGATAATACCCATGTCTGGAATATTGGTATAGAAGGGTATATACACAATAAAGATAATGGATTTCAAGAAGGCAGACTTCAGCTAACTCAGAGAGTAGGTAGGTAAGATCCGATGGGAAGCAAGTCTAAGGGGGAAAACAGTTCTAGAGAGTTGGCACTTTTTCAAAGAGATATTAATAAGGGCACAAGAGCAAACTGTCCCACTGTGTAAGAAAGATAGGAAGTATAGCAAGAGATCACACTGGTTTAACCAGGAGCTCCTCAATGATCTGAAACTCAAAAAAGAGTCCTACAAAAAGTAGAAACTAGGTCAAATTACAAAGGATGAATATAAACAAACACAAGTAAGTATCAACAAAATTGGAAAGACCAAGGCACAAAACAAGATTAAACTAGCTACAGACATAAAAGGTAACAAGAAAATATTCTAGAAATATATTAGAAGCAAGAGGAAGACCAAGGACAGGGTTGGCCTGTTACTCAATGAAAAGGGGGGAAACAATAATAGAAAATATGGAAATGGCAGAAGTGTTAAAAGACTTTTTTGTTTCAGTTTTCACCAAAAAGGTTAGTAGCAATTGGACGTATAACATAGTGAATGCCAGTAAAAAAGAAGGTAGGATCAGAGGCTAACATAGGGAAAGAACAAGTTAAAAATGACTTAGACAAGTTAGATGTCACCAGGACCTGATGAAATACATCCTAGAATACTCAAGGAGCTGATTGAGGAGATATCTGAGCCCTTAGCCCTGGACTACGAAGTCAGCGTATCTTAGGTCGACTTACCTGGCCATGAGGATGGCGGCGAGTCGACCACTGCCCCATTGACTCCGCTTCCGCCTTTCGCGAGCTGAAGTTCCGGAGTCGACGGGGAGCATGTTCGGGGATCGATTTATCCTATACAAGACGCGATAAATCGATCCCCGATAGATCAATCACTACCCACCGATCCTGCCCTTAGTGATTACCTTCCAAAAGTTGTGGAAGATGAGTGAGAGTCCAGAGGACTGGAAGAGGGCAAAGATAGGGAAATAAGGACAACCAGGGAATTACAGATCAGTCAGCTTAACTTCAGTACCCAGAAAGGTAATGAACCAAATAATTAAACAATCAATTTGCAAACACCTAAAAGATAATAAGGTGATAAGTAACAGTCAGCATGGATTTGTCAAGAACAAATAATTTCAAAGCAACCTAATAGCTTTCTTTGACAGGGTACCAGGCTTTGTGGATAGGGGGAAGCAGAAGATGTGATATATCTTCACTTTAGCTTCTGATACTGTCTCACATGACCTTCTCATAAACACACTAGGAAAATACAAGCTAGATGGAAATAATAGAAGGTGGGTGCGTAACTTTTTGGAAAACCGTTCCCACACAGTATTTATCAGTAGTTCACAGTCAAGCTGGAAGGGTATATCAAGTGGGTCCTGCAGGGATCAGTTCTGGGTCCAGTTCTGTTCAATATCTTCATCAATGATTTAGATAATGGCATAGAGAGTACACTTATAAAGTTTGCGGACAATACCAAGCTGGGAGGGGTTGCAAGTGCTTTGGAGGATAGGATTAACATTCAAAATGATCTGGATAAACTAATGAGTGGGATGTGAAGTATTCTGGGGCTAGTCTTTTTCAGTCTCTCCTGTTGAAGCTGTTCCTCTGTATAGAAAAACTAATAGGCAAAGAGTGAGAACGATCGTGATTCCATAGGCTGGTGGTTAGGGCACTTATCTGGTTACTGGGACTGCCACGTTCAAAACCCTCTACTTTAATTACTATTCTGGATGCATGTCCTAACCATTGAAATTTAAAAATATGAGGGAGGTGGCACCACCACTGATCCCATCCCCCCAGTGCATGTTGTGAAGGCCGCTAAAGGCCGCTAAAGTCCCCCAATGAATGTACTCTGAAAAATTTGGGTGTGAGGTGGGACAAAACTGTTTGGAGAATTTGGGTCAAATTCACGAATAGTTTTGCAAAGGCTGGAACTGATTTTTTCGTGAATAAACTGAAAAATGTTCTCCCACTCGACTGAACATTCTATCTTAGGTCATTTACCACATCCTCTCATCACTTTGCCTGAGCTCCACTGACTCAGGAAATAGGAAACTCAGAGATTGTTCAGTGTCCTAAATGACCAGTGCTGATGCAAAACCATGAGGCTGACTTTGCTTCAAGTTATTCTTTATGTAACTGTGTAGAGGATGAGCTTTTTTCTGTCATGAAAATTACAGGGAAAATAGTTTGCAACTCTATTAAGCTCTTAATAGTGGCTTAAAGAAAAAGTATGTATAGCATATAGGTAATCAATATTTTGTGTGGTGAACAATTTAATAATTAACCACCAAATAATGCAACGATGTCGAATGTTTTGGTTTTTAAATGTGTAACACAAAGATTAGCATAATCTTAAATCACAAAAATACAAAGCAATATTAAAATGTGATCTTCACTATGTAGTTGGTAGTTAAATAGATGTTAAGGAGACCTTGCATATTTTATAGAATGGTAACTTCAGGATATACCAACAATATGCAAGCTACTTATCTAATAAGCATCTTTCACAGTAGCATGTGGGAAAGAAATGTAAGAAATTTCATTTTATAACCATTACAGTAGTTTGCATTGTTATTATAGGAAACCTGCTTTCAAATAAATAATAACTACAATAAGGCTTTGGAAATTCAAAAGTAATCTTGTATCTCAGTTAAGAATTTTAAAGGTAAAATGCATAGCAGGTGTGACAGTTGTGGCAATTTAATGCAATATCCTTGAAAAACCTTATTGAATTAAGTTTAAATATTTTTGGAGTCCATTGTATTAAATGCAGCGACTATGTATTATTGTGGGCTGGGGTTGTATGTAACCTCTCTATGCTGAAGATACGATGTGAACCCTTGAAAGTGTCATGAACTTTAAAAAACTATGTTGAACAATGTGGCAGACAAGAATGGATTTTGGGGAGAAACAGTGCCAAGTGGTTTGCTTGGAGAATCTCTAGGGAAAGGTGAATGCAATTTTCCCAGCTATGGTTATTTAGAAAAACAACCGTTGGAAGCTACGCCCTGAGAAGAGGACCATTATCTGCTGATTACCCATTCCAGACTCTCAACATCAAAGGCCCAAGCGGTATAAAGGAAAGAGTAACCTATTCATGGGGATGCTAGTTCTGAGCTAAGGCTGTTTATGAACTTTTTAGTCAACAGGAAAAAAAACCCCAAAACCTTTGGGTTGGGTTTGAAGGAATGACTCCTACCAGAGCCTGAGATTGGAGTTGGGGGATGATCTCGTAAACTTATTAGCATGAATGTTGGTTCTTTTATTGTTTTTAATGTTTTCTCTGTGATATTTACACCTTAAGAATAACTGTGCTTACTTATAAAGAGTTGTGTGATAACTTGTGACTGCTGGCAATTTCAGCTGTTCAGTGCCTCCAGAGAGAACGCAAAGCACAGCCAGGGCTGGCTCCAGGGTTTTTGCCGCTCCAAGCGGAGGGAAAAAAACCACACCCCACGATTGGCGGCAATTCGGCGGCAGGTCCTTCCGTCCGAGAGGGACCCGCCGCCGAATTGCCGCTGAAGAGCCAGACATGCCGCCCAATTCCAACGGCTGCCCCAAGCACCAGCTTGCTGAGCTGGTGCCTGGAGCCGGCCCTGAGCACAGATACTGGGTTATCTAGGCAGTCTGGCTTGTTGGGGATATTATAGTGTAGGCAGGGAACTGTGCAGCCTGGAAAATCCCCGGTCAGAAGGGAGAGAGTCACTGGTCTCTATCCAAGAGAGGTGACAGCTAAGGAACCAGAAGCCTAGAGTGGATGTCCTTGAGGGATGATGGAGGGGAAAATACAGATTCAGTGCCCCTTAATTGTGACAGTAAAGTATTTCAATCTCTGATACTTAGTTAGGGGGGAAAGCAAGAGGTTGGTAGTGAATTTCCATGACAAACTTTTCACATTTATTGACTTTGGTTAAAGCTGTCCTCTTTACTGGCAGCATAATAAAGCTCTTGTCAGTTTTCTCATCTGTAAATCCTATTATCTAAAGATACCATCTGCCAGGATCATCTTTCTTAGGTCTTAGCACAAGATTACCAGAACTTCAGCTATGATTTTTAAAGGCGCCTAAAAGAGTTAGGTGCCCAATTCTCAGTGTTCCAATGAGACTTGTGTCTCGCTCATGTAGGACAATTTGGAAATACCATCATCAGTAGCTCTTAAATAATTTTAATCCTGAGAGCAGCGGTAGCAGTGTAGAGTGCAAATCAGGCCCTTTCTGGCTGATCTGTGCCTCTCCCTGGCACTCTGTTCCATCTTGATGGTGGCTAGGGAAAGATTTACCTGTTTGTTTTGGTCTCTCCTTAGTCCAGCACCTGTTTGTTCTTGGTGCACTGAACTATGATCCAGAATTTCCATGCTGACCTCACCACTCTTGTTCCATCTCAATATATGATCATGTGGCGATATCCCTTTGGTGCTTTGACATTCATTCAGTTTTGCTTTTCTTAGTCCATGTGTGCCTGACTTAGGGTGATCCATGTAGCCTATCTAATCTAAGCATAGATAGCATGTTCGTTATCATATCTGAGCTCATTATTCAGTTTATCAGTGCCTTATATTAGTTTACCACTAATTGGATTTGTAAACTTGTGCTTCATAAAGTTAAAGGCACCTGAGAGGAATCCTTCCCCTCCCCCCACTCACTAGATTTATGGCACATGACCACGTTTTCAAATTGCTCACATGCCTCTTTTTAAAAATGTGGTGTGTGTGTGTGTGTGTGTGTGTGTAAAGCCACAGAAATAGTGTAACA